CTGGAATTCAGCACAAACAACGAACAAAACTACACAAGGCGTAATAAACATAGACGTTTCGAAGTGAAAAAGTAAATTCCTCATCAGACGCTGATGCTGAAACGGACACTCGAGGAACGTTATGCTTAATTACCTCAGTAATATTGCGGCTTTGTTGCAATTTTGTATCGTTGTTTCTGCATTACTGTGTTAGTATTTTTTAATTTTTGTTTTTGATTCATGTGTTTTCATTAGTCGTGTTAGAGGTAAAGGAAGAAGAGAGAAAAAATAATATATCCACCCTGCATAATATGATATGCATAATAAGAAATAATACGTATGATAAGAAATAACGTTGAGGTAAATTCGAAACCTCATATAAGTTGATAATTAGCTTCGCAAGGCTGGTCTTCCCGATGCAAGACAGACAATCAGAACTTGTATTGCAAAGATGTCGGGGCAATTGAGAAATTCTCTGCAACACGAATTGGGGAACTGCAATCGTAATTACTTCGATTCATCATCATCATGCTCTCCTATATTCGAAACAATGTATGACTTATTGAGTTGCTATAATAATTAATTGCATCTTGATTGACTCACTCTGAACGAGAGTTATTGATATTGCCTTTACGAATAGCTTTATATAAACATATACATATTCCATGGCTCGTCGGAATACATAACACGCGCCCTGCATACGCTTACGTGCACACTACACAACACACACACACACACTCACACACGCACACCACGCGACGCACCGTAAGAGCCCGAAGATGGCCCTACAAGGAATATAGTAGATGGCCGAGCTTAGGTTCAAGGTAGACAGCCAAGAGTCTAGACTCCTTCATTGGATAGCACCGTTGCTCCCTGCCTCCCCGCACGGAGTCTGCCTCATCGCCTACACAGCGGTCACGTAGTTAGAATGTGGCAACCGGCGACGAACAAGGAAGCGTTCCCTCAATACATAGCTCTTGCGGAAGGGGATAGACAGCTCAATATTGGAGTGTCTAGTTTGGCAAGAAGAGAGAAATAAGCAGGGGAAGCAATAGGTGCCGGCGTATATGCACATTATGTGTGGAAGCTACGTATGTGATAAGCGTGAAAGATTGTATAGATATGTAGAATATAGTAATATGATACAGATATAGCTAGGTCACACCCACCCACACACCATCCCACGACATCAACGAGGGTAAGAAAAATGGGGACTTTGACCTCGCGTCTGACACGTATCAAACTTTCTTATTTTCGATTCTAAGGTTTTAATTCAAACTTCCTAGTCTTTTCGGAACCTCGACTAAACAGCCTGCCACGTACAGGAGAGCAAGCGCGACAGTAAATGGAATAGATAAAAATACGAAATGATAAAAATAAAAACAATCGCACGAAGGTAGAGAATCACTCCCTGGCTTGAAGGGAGTTGAGTCGCGGCGCCGGAGACCTCCGTGAGATATTGTTTTTTACGTTGCCTCTCATTGTCTCCTAGGATCTCTCTCTCCTCTCTCTGCTCTCTCTCTCTCCTCTCTCTCTCTTCTCTCTCTCTCCTCCTCTTCTCTCTTCTCTCTCTCTCTCTCCTCTCTCTCTCTCTCTCTCTCTCATCTCTCTCTCTCTCTTCTCTCTCCGTCTCTCTCCCTCTCTCTCTCCTCTCTCATTTCTCTCTCTCTCTCCTCTCTCTCTCTCGCTTCTCTCCTCTCTCTCTCTCTCTCTCTCTCTCTCCTCCTCTCTCTCTCTCTCTCTCTCTCTTCTCTCTCTCTCTGTCTTTATTATATATATATATATATATATATATATATATATATATAATATATATATAATAACTTGTATATATATATATATATATATATATATATATATTATATATACTATATATTATATATATATATTATTATATAATATACATATATATATACATATATATATATAATATATCATATATAATATAATTTATATATATGTCATATATATATAGTATTTATTTATTTTATATATATTATATATATATATATATATATATAATAATATATATATACATATATATATTTATATATATATTATTTATTTTATCTATTCATTTAGATAGATAGAATTGGATAATGAGAGGTAGATAGATAAGATTAGATAATAGATATGATAGATAGATAGATAGAATAATAGATATAGAAATTAGATAATAAGATATATATATACAGTATATATATTATAGTATATATATATATATATTTATTTATCTATCTATCTTCTTATCTATCTAATCTAAATATCATATATTATTA